ATTGCAAAAGAGATACTCAAACAAATACAGTGCTAATACAACTAGAATAACGTTGTATTCGTGTTCTTTATATCGACTTCATAATAATTGAAGATCATTCATTTGATACATTCTACTATGTTGATACTTTGACGTCAATAATTTAATCTTCAAACTAATACAGTCAGACAAAGTAGGGAAAAAAGTTTATTGTACTTTGGACTTTGTAGGTGCTTCGTCGAGAGTAATTTACTGAAGATATCCAAAAGAGTCATTTTAAAAGCTCTTCAAGAAGCCTACAAATTCAAGATGTGAATAGATTTTTGAACACGATTATTTTTAGTTCTTATACTACAAAGAAATTGTCTTTCGTTGAAACAAGTTAAGCATATATTTAATATTTAGCCGAATTTTTCATTATTCAACAATGATTGAAAACTTTTTTTAATACATAATTCAGCCGTGACAAAGTATTGCTTCAAAATAAATTATCTAAGCATGATGGTCAAAATATTTTGAATTTATCGTAGACATAATCTTTATTAAATATAAAAATTTCAACTACATGACGAAACATTCGATCTGGATAATGAGCACGTTTTGAAGAGTAGCATTTGATCTGTCAAACAGAATTTCACTGCTCGCAGTGCAATGTTCCTGCCAAATGTTGCAACGTCTCTATATTTAGAAGTCATTTGAGTGACAATTCCAAGCCATTTTTTGTTTTCTTCCATCGTAAATTTAGCAAGAGCTGTAATGCTTTAACGGAACGTTGCATCGCAAGCGGCGAGATTTCGCTTGAAAGAGCAAATGCTACTCTTCAAAACACATTCATTATCTAAATTGAATGTTTTATCTGATAGTTGAAAGTTTTAAATTTAATAGACACTATGTCTACTAAAAACTACACGCACTCCAACAATCATACTTAAACAATTCATTTTGAAGCAATAGCTTTTCATAATATTGTTAAAGTTTTTATGTTGCTTCTTATGAGTTATCGTAAGTTGACAATTAAAGTGAAAATCTTTCATAAATTTTAATTTGATAATAAGCAATATTAAATTATTCATTTAGTATGAGAATTAACAATTTGTCACAATGCTTTTTACCAAAATGTAGCACGTGAAATTTTCCGCTGAATGATATATATATATAAGGGTTTAAGTAATTGTGGAATAATAAAAAATTTGACTCAATATTAAATATATGTTCACTTATGTTCCACTAGAGAAAATTTCTTTGTAGCATAAGAATTAAAAATAACCATGTTGACAACACTAATTCATATGCCGATTGTAAGAAGGTTTTTAAAGAATTTTCGACATTACTCTTTTGAATATATTCAGTAAATCACTCTTGACGAAGAATCTAGAAAATAAAAAGCATGTTAGACTTCTTCCCGACTATACATTTACATTTATAAAGGCACAGCGAGTATATTTTTTTGTCTTCAGCTCTTTATTTGTAAAGGTTTTTTTTCTACAAGTAGCTACCTAATTCTATTTCGACAATAATTAAAATCTTTGAAATATCATAAGCAACGAAACAAATAGGGAAAAGTATAAATTTTACTGAACGGTAATTTATACCTTTAACTATAAGAATAGTGTATTATAAGTTTAGGACGTATTAAAAAGAAAATTTTTAGCAAATAGTAATATATGTAAACGTATTGAGACGTTTTGATACACATAAAAGAAATAGTGTAATTTGATAAATCTGTATTTCTTAATTATTTTGAGTTATATAAACCCAACAGAAAAGCTAGAATGTAGAAAATCAAAACTTCTATTAATACTAGCTTTGTTAGTAGAATATTTTACAAAAGCTCTTGTTTCTTTATTGAAACAAGTTCCGATAACAAAATTTCATAAAATAGACTTGATTGCAAGGACACCAATCACTATCTCTAGACAATACGCACAAACTCAATTTCATTTTGCATTATGTGTCTATCATATGTCACGTCACAGATAATTATCAGAAAAAGACTAATTCAAAAGATATTTCTTACTATTGAAAAACGATCAAGTAGTGAGTAACAGAAAATCAGACAATCTTATTCAGAGAAACAAATATTTTTCGCAGAAAAAATAAGAATAAATAAAACTTTCAATACATCACAGGAAAGAAAACTCTGTATGCTACAAATGTAAGTGTAAAATGTATTTATTTCATTTTCTTCTGATAACAAAAGAAAAGAATTCATTGACTTTGGATAATCATGGTGTTGAATGGTGCAATGACAAAAATTTGTGTAGAGGTATTTAGTTTTTGATTTTCAAAGTCATATAGCTTTATTTCGTGAAAATAAATGTGATAAAAAAAATCTGTTGTTCACATATTGTTCTGTCTAATAAAAAAAAAACCATTCAATTGGTTTAGAAGTTAGTAATGTGCTCTAACAGCGTTTGTATTGAAACTCTATTTGTACTAAGTGTATGGGTCTTATTGTTGAAGATATTATATGCATCAAATTAGATCATGTGTTTAAAAAGTTCCTGAAACATTTTGAATTAAAAATCATAGAAGTCTGTTGCATGATAGATATAAACTATTTGTCTCAATGAACATTATAAAATTTCATTGGTACATCTAATACTTCTTTAACGAAAAAACGTTTGCTGATGAATAATAATCGTAGTTTCAGATCATTATTAGTAAATTCAATACGATCTCAGTTCATGGCTTTGTTGTCTAACGATGTTTCAATATAGTGATGTATAAAGCAAAGAATAGATAGATTATAGATCACTATACAATGAAAACTTGAAATATGTTCAGTTCGGTTCAATCGAACGCACTGATCTTTTAATTTTTTGGTTATACGGATTTATTTAAAATATGTTTTTTGTACAGATAATACAAATAATTCTTTGAAGTATCGTTATTAACTTTACTTAAGAAATCAAGAAAAGAAACAATATGCGCATATGACTTATGAGTAGTTTTCCTTTTTCGTCCAAGGCAATAACAAGAGACAATCAAAATATATTGTATTAATACGATATGACATTGATTCACATTAAGAAAACTTTTTGAACTAGGCTAGTTGAAGAATCAACAGCTATAAAAATTTAAATTTTTAAGGACAGAACACTAGCCTTGGCAAGAAAACTATTGACTCGATAATTGAATGATTCATTTATGTATTTGAATTATTCGATACGAATTCAAACATCTAAACTTACTACGTAATCATCAAACTTGCTCTATGTGTATGAACGTGATATCATATTAGTAAAATGTGCTTTGATTTTCTCTTTTTATTTTTTTGGTTGAAAATAGATAATAATGTATAAATCGTGTCAAATGTAGTTTTCTTCGTTGATTCCTTTAATGTAGTTGATAGTGATCCTTCAAAAGAGTATCTGTTTACATCATCCGATTAAAAAAGCTTATTAGCACAACCTCTTTGAAGCTAAGATCTGGAGTTCACATGTGTACTTTAATCGCATTATATTAATACAAAAAACGTAAAGTAAAAAATCTCTAACAGACTATAGTTGTTTGCCAAGGATAATCAATCGGTATAGAATCGAAACAAACTTGCATTTCAAGCGAAGGTTTTTCTTTTAATGTCGCTCAATTTCTTATTTGTCTTGTTGCTGTTCGCTTGTCAGTTTGTTTTTAGTTCTTTGTACTCGTTAATTTAACATTATTATTATTTTTATCATTAATCAAACTGATAAATGAGCCTTTTATACACATTCACGATATCCACAGCAAATTTCAACATGTTATTGTGCACTCGATGAAATGAAAAATATTGATATTGATCATATGATGGTAGTAGCCTACCAATGCAACACTACCTATCATTCTTGATATCTAACATATAACTGTGAGTCTGTGAGATAATAAAAATTTGTGCTCTTTAGAACATTCACAAACATGGATGCCGTTCAGAGCTTTTTTCCATCGCTAAAGAACTACGAGAAGAGAGTATGATGTTTGTCGTCTTCGACTGCTAAGGAAGAAGCCACAAAAATCTCGATTTAAACTTACATTCATTATTTTCTTCGAAAATATATGTAAATTCCACAAAAAAGAAAACTTTCAATAAGTGTCTAAACTTCAGCTCATTTGATTGAACCGAATTGGAGATATTCTAATTTTTTATGTTACGATTATTCAAGAACCATCTTGGATATCAATGCTCTTTCAGTAAGAATTTTTATTACTTATAAATAGGTAGTTGCAAAAAAACAAACATATCTTATTTTAACGATATTTCTTTATGCATGAATCTGCTAGACTTATTTCACAGCGAGATTAAAAGCGTATACATCATTATATATAAGTTTATAATTTTAAATTTCATCCCTTCTTATAAGATTTTCTAGATTTTTTTTTCAAATGCTTTGATGCATGATCAACGGTATTGCTGTTTAACGGTATTCGGTCGAAACTATACATTCATTCCTTCTATTGTTGATAAAATAATGAGAAATGTGACTATTGTTCTTTGAATTACTATCTTTCAAATTTGTGTAGAACATTGCTGCGCTTTACCATACGCCCGTAGAACGTTGAGCGAATTTGCAAGAAGGACGTGCTAAGTCATGACATATTTGGAAATGTTTTAGAAGAGCATTAAAGCAACCAACTAATGTTTGCGAAGTGTGCTTAAAAGGAAAATAGAGAGCGAGACGTGCGTTGCGTGGTACAATCCTACGGAACTGTGTTTCCTTTCTTTAATTTAATAGCAAAAAAAATGACGGAGAGAAGAAAAGTGTTTTGGCCAATTATGTTTTTTTTTTCTTTTCATTGCTGAGTAACATAATAAGAAAACAAAATTAATAATAGTCTTTGTACATAATAAATGATTAAAATTATTTACAAAAATATAAAATTCCTAATCTATTATATTATTTAAAGAATTATACTATAAAAGAAAAATTTATAAAATCGCATCTTGATAGAGGTCTCTTGTGATTGGTTAACATTATCCAACAATTATGGCTATTTTGTCAGATTTTCTACAAAATTTTTAAGAATTCTATTTATTTTTGAGTATGTCAGCTCATGAAGGTGTAAGTTGTGATGCTTGTGGAAAAAGTAATTTTCGTTCAAAACGTTACAAATGTTTAATTTGTTATGATTATGATCTTTGTTCAACATGTTATGAACAAGGTGAAGCATCAAGTCATCATACAAATGAACATCCTATGCAATGTAAAATATATTCTTTTTGTTTTTCTATATTTTATGAAAATAATGTTTTTATTTTTTATTTATTCACTATTCATTTTTAGGTATATTGACACGTCAAGATTTTGATTTTTATTATCATGGTGAACGATATACATCTGATCAAGCTCAATCATTCACTTGTCCATTTTGTGGTGAAATGGGTTTTGCATTACCATTTATAAACGAATCATCATCATCAACGCAAAATCTTGATCTTTTTCATCATCTTCAATTAAAACATGCTGATGAACAACAATCAAGCGAAGTTATTTGTCCTATTTGTGCCGCAATGATTAATGGTGAACCAAATTTAGTTACAGCTGATCTTCTATCACATATTGCTAATGATCATCAACATCAACAAGTTCAAACACCATCAACACCTGGTATTGGAACGAATCCATATTCAAGACAATCATCATCAAATAGAGATTCAGATTTTACTAGTAGTACTAGTACTCGAGCTGGTTTTAGACGAGGACCATTACGAACACCTGGTAGACGAGGTGCATTAGGAAGAGGTGGAGGAACTGTCAGTCAACATTTTGTTGTTGATACTTCAACAGTTAATGGTGGAAGTGATCCAATTGCTGATTTATTAACACAATTATCTACTGTGCGAAGATTAGCAGCAGCAAGCAATAATAACAGTTCATCACCAAATACAATTAATCTTCAAACATTAACACGACAACAATATGAACGTGAACGTCTTCGTACAACTGGACGTTCTCATCATCAACAACAATCTCATCATTCACAACAAGCACCATCATCATTATCATCGAATAGTTTACCATCAATTGAAAATGACTTTTTTGATTCACTTTTTGCATCCGCTCTTTTTATTGATTCATCTTCATCAGCAAATAATAATAATCAAACTTGGGCACAAATTGTTGCACAACAACAATCAACACCCGAACAACAACAACAACAACAACAACAACAACAACAGCAATCATCAATGATAAAAACACCTGCAGTTGAATCTGATCCATCATTATTACGAAGATTATGTGATGAAACATCTTCTTCCTCTTTAACTCAACAAAATACTACCGTTGCACAACAACAAAAATGCAAAAGTGATTTTGTGCATGGTTTGCTTTTTGCTAGTTTTGTTTGTCCACTTAATGATAATGATAAATAATATTAATATCAGAGTTATTCATGCATATCAATTAATTGTCTTTTCTTTGACTTGTGTTAGTATATAATCGTATGGTAATTTCTATTTTAGATGTAACATTCCTCTTTTCCTTTTTCATTGTGCTCGGTTCATTTAATTTTTTCTCCAGACTAAGATCAAGACTGTGTAATTGTATATACGAAAATATGGATAAATATTGTTTTGGAATGACAACCGTCCTTAATTTCGTTCTTGGACTTCTTACTATTCTCGATTCTGGTTATACGGCAAGTGTTAGAAATAAAGATGATCTTTTCAACATAAACATAACAATGCCAAATTTTAATAGCACACAGGTTCAATAAGATAAAAAAGAACATTTTTTTAAATATAAATACTAATTTTTTTTTTCTTAGGAAGATCAATATACTTTTCTTCAATATGAATTACCCGATGAAGAATTAGCTATCGGTAAGGTTAAATAGAATGTTAACTAATTTCTTCACATATTTTATATAGTTGGATATTCACCTTTGATTAATATGAATGCTGCTCATCATATGCTAACATTTGCTTGTGCTAATCCAGGTTCTAATAAACAAATTTGGTTTGTTGGTTTTTTTTTTATTATTATTTTTGTTTATCTTTATATTTATCATTGGTGTATATATATATATATAGGACTTCGGGTCAAGCATGTAATGGTGATGAACAATTGATTATTCATGGATGGGCTCGTAATGCACCATCAATGACATTACCTGATGGTTTGTTTATCTCGTATTAAGTGAAATATTTTTTAGAAAAAACAAAAAAAATATTTAGATGTTGGATTTCCGGTTGGTCGTAATACGCCATACAAATACATTGTTGTCAATATACATTATCTATCGAGTATTGTCAATGATAAGTCAGGAAATCAATTAATTATAAGTCGAAAACCGTATGTTAATGGATATATTTCCGTTTTCTCTTTTGTCTTTTATTTATAATAAATTATATTTTTATTTTATTTTAGACGAAAATATCAAGCGGGTGTTATGTTAGCTGGTACAAGTCAGATCTTTATAAAACCGAAAACACATTGTAAATAAAAAATAATGTATATTATATAAATTATTATAAGATTTATTTTAGCTATTCGAACACCATTTTCTTGTCGTTATAATGGACCATCAATTTCTATATTTGCTGCTCGTGTTCATGCACATCAATGGGGTTAATATTTTCATCTTTAGTTTGTTTAATTTAATTTAACTGATTTATTTATTTCTTCTTTAGCACGCGTTAATTCATTATATCGTGTACGTGATGGAGTAATTACACAAATAGTTAAGGGTGATCCACAATGGCCACAATCATTTTATCCACTTCCATCACCAATTGAAATTCAAAATGATGATTATCTTGTTGGACAATGTGTTTATGATAATGATGATGATCATATTGTTCGAGTCGGGTAAGTTTTTATTATTTTCTTTGACTTGAAAAACATCCAAATGAAATATTTTAGACCTACACATAAAGATGAAATGTGTAATATATATGCCATGTATTCATTTGAACCAACAAAAACAGCAAGTGGAAAACAAAAAACTGGTGCAGCTCCAATACGTTCATGTTGGGATAACGAATTTAGTTCATTGATCAAGTATATATTTTATGTTTTTTTTTTTTTTAGAAACTTTAAGGACTAAAATATATACAATAGATTCCCTAGAGATCATTGATTATTGAATGACAAGAAGTTCATTTGTCTTAGTCTACGAACAATGAATGTCCTTGGATCGATTTCGGTCATATAGAACTGAGAATTTTTTTTCTTATAGGTGTTGGTTGTTTTTCGAGCCCATATAAAGAAATAATCTAATATTTCACATTATATTTTCGTAGAAATGTTAAATTCATTTACGAATTCGGGCTAATAAGTTCATACAATAATGAATGAATGAGAAAGATTTAATGTTTTCTCCTTTTAATTAACCAAAAAGAAAAAACTGTTCAATATAATTCATCACGAGATTTTTTTCTCATGTTGTTCCAGTAAAAAAAATAACAGATGCTAGAATTTTTTAGTTTGATGTAGATTATAATGACAAAATCAATCAACTTTCTGTGCATGTTAATTAGAGAACTTCATGATTACGGTCCTATGTAACCATGATTCATGATCGATTGATAGATTTTCATGTTGATAGGTATAGTAAAGAGGATTCGAATCTCAATACTTCATCAAAAATTGTATTGAATATACTTCGCTAAATTTCTCATCATATCAAATCATCTAAACAATGTCATGAAAATGTTTTATAAGTAAATCTTCCTTTTCTAGAGAGTAAATTTCGTTTATTTCAAACGAACTTTTTGCATTCATCAACAATAGAACTAAGATAGTAATCTGGTTTACTAATTGCAGAAGAAAATGTATAAGAAGTAACCATTTAACAAAAAATAATACGTTTGTAAATCTCTGTCCAAAGGACTGACTTGATGTATGCTGCTATGAGAGATGAGAGATAAAATGTTTTCTGACTAACAGAACATTAAAACAAAATATCTTATAATTACGGATGAATGTGTGAAATGTTTCCGGCATTTCTTCCGTTTAAATAGTTCTAATTATTATTCTTCTTCGATTGCTAATTTTATAAATGTATCGAAATAGATCTTGTGTAAAATTAACATTTATCTTTCTTTTTCTACTAAATAAGATTCATCATTATTATGAAACTATATTCTGATCGTAACTAAAGTTGATAAAACATTGTTTCACGAAAAATCTATTTTTATGCTTACCAAAAAAAACTAACGAGAAAAACTCTTCACATTATAGAAAAGCTTTTTGAGACAAGACTTTTGTTATTAGATTGAGTCAACTTACTAGTGCCCGTTGAGTTGATCTCGGACTCAACTAAGTCTTGGTCTGAACTTATTGGACTCAGCGGTCACAATGACTGAGAGTAAACAAAAATCATGATGGTTCGCCTCCTTATTGCTGTCCACTGAAGTAATGACAATGTTATTGAGGTTTTGGCTTAATGCAACGTATATCATCATTTTAATCGTAAAAACGTTTTAAATTTCTTGTCAGAAGACCTCTCATTATGGGCGAAATTTTCACTTGAAATAGTGACATTGAATATTTAATGATATAATGGGTGATCGAAAAATAATTTGAGAAAATGTCTATTTATTTTTCAACCTTTTAAACGAGCCTGCAAAAATTAGAAAAAAATTGAGTTTCAATCAAACTTTTGTATTGTTTCTGATTGTTAGTTCAACTGTTGTCAGAGTCTTTTGATTTAGGAGTTATGAACCATCCTTTAGGAGGCGTGAAAATTAAACTTTGACAGAGAAACTTGATGTTTGCTGTAGCAAAAGCGTTCATTACTGCAAACATTATATGACTGATTTTTTTTAATATTCAATTGAAGGCAAGATGGTTCTCTAGGAAGTGACATAAGAGTGAAGAGTTTTATAACAATCATTCATGAATAGTTGGACTTATTGTGCAAATCTGTTGTTCATAGAAACCCGGAAAATTATCCAAATTAATAAAGTGCTCGTTATCCATTATATTCACTATTGACAAACGACTTCGAGCAAGTTAATCAGTAGTGTACTATTTTGTGGAGAAATTATTACTCTTTAACTTTCTGTATTTGAAATAATGTTCATTTCTGCTTTGGATGATTTTTGATGTACTGAAGTCCGTCGAAACTTAATTTATGGATCTCTCAAAGGTCAGCCTATAACCACTAAATGAAAATTTCTATAAAAATTTCGAACCCATATTTGAAAAGAACACAAAATTTTCATTCTAATTGAATGTTTTAAAATTTCTATAAACTATTTGAAGAGATTAAAAAATGAATGAACATTTGATCAAGTTACTTTTCCATCATTTGTTACATTACACTAAGTTACAAACTCCATAAAATTGTTATTGCTCGAGAAGAAAGCAATAAAAAGACAGACAGTAATTGCTTTTGCTTATTCTCAGTAGACTTAATATAATGATTGAAGTGTCATGGAAAAAGCTTTTTTTTCATCTTGAGAGGTTTATTTATACGACCATATTTTGTAAATGATCATCTTTCATACTAAATTAATTCTTCTTGTATTTTTAGTCTTATCCCACCTGATAGTGAAGTTCCTCCACGTAAACCATCGGATATTGGTGGTACAAGTAATGGTCATCATACTCATGCTGAACATGCAATGAGTCCATCAATAGGTAATTTTTCATGAATTTTATTATTTTATTTTTCTTGATTACTATCTGATGAACAGATGTTGGAAAACAATTAGCATTATCATCCGTGGATGATCCAGCTTACGAAGATTATATGGAAGAAGTTGAAAATATGCGTCATCGTAATAAAGATTCAGATGCATATGATTTCAATAAAGCTTTATCTCATCTTGGTTTACCTGAATATGAATATGTTGATGCACAAAATTATGATTATTTATTACCAACACATTTAACATATGGAAAAGAACAAACAGTTAAAATACATAATGCAAAAATAATGAGTTGTGAGAATTTATGTCGTGTCGTTATTTTGTTTGTTGCTTTTTACATGATGTATAATAGAAAAAGAAAAGATTTAAGAATGATTCATAAGATTTTTTTTTTTTTTCTTATTTTATTTTTTAGCTAATTTATATACTTGTGTGGATTCATGGCCTGATGTGAAATCCTTACCAGGTCAACTTGGTGAAATAGGTGGATTAGCATTAAATAAAGCTAATGATGAACTTGTTGTATTTCATCGTGGATCACGAAAATGGGAGAATAAGTAAAATAAAAATTTTTTTAAAAATTATTATTTTTTTAAAAATTATATTTGTTTTTATGTTAAAAAGATATTTTAATCGAAACTATCGTTTTCGTCAAGAAACTTATGGTCCTATTGATGAAGATGTTGTTCTTCATATTGATACTCGAACAGGACAAACAAAATTTCGTTGGGGAGCAAAAATGTTTTATATGCCACATGGTTTAACAATTGATCATGCTGGAAATTTTTGGTTAACTGATATAGCTATGCATCAAGTTTTTATGTTTAAACCAAGTGATTTAACACATCCTGCATTAACAGTTGGTGAAATGTTTCAACCAGGTTCTGGACCAACACAACTTTGTCGACCAGCTGATATTGCTGTGATGAAAAATGGAGATTTCTTTGTAGCTGATGGGTAAAATTAATGATTAAAATATAGAATTAATTAATTAACTTAGATTACTTATTTTAGATATTGTAATAGTCGTATTATCAAATTTAATCGTAAAGGAGAATATATTACTGAATGGGGTTCACCGATGACTGGAATACAAGATCGTAAGCCTTTTGTTTTTCTTCTTTTCTTAGTGCGTAATAATGATCATCGAAATAGAAAAAAATCATGAAGTATAGAAACATGTCAAAGTCACTATTCTATTTTTGGACTAGTTCTACTACTCATCCAGTGCTCTAGAGATCGAATAGGGAAAACCGAAGATATTTGTTGTTGTCACATATGTCAAATGTATTGTTAATTCATTGTGTTTATATTTGATGATTGTTCACATGTTAAGATTTCATTTTTTTTTTCTCAATCAAAATAAAGAAAATAATGCATATAAATTGTGTATTGATGAGACAAGTTTAGTACAAGTATGAAAATTACGAATCCGGGAAGTTCTATCCATGCAGTACTCTACTGTAGAACAATAAAAGAAACTAAATAGAGAGTTTTTAAAGATTTCGAGTTTTTCGACATTGATTAATATATTATTTCAAATTCTTTCTAGCAATATTTTGATAAAGATTGTAATTAGGAATTAAATTTATTTTGATTGAATTGTAAATTATTTTTTCTCAATAATTATTGTTTATACTTTCAATTGTGTATTAAAAAATTGAAATTTTCGTTGTTACTAAAAATTTTCCTATTTAATCATGAAAAATACTTTTAGAAGATGGCTTTCCACTTCCAAACCAATGGAATATCGTTCATTCGATAGCATTAAATGAAGATGCTCAATTATTATGTGGTGCCGATCGAGAAAATTATCGCATTCAATGTTTTAATTCAAATACAGGTGAATTTCAACGACAAATTCGTGTTGAAACAAAAGATAATATTGGTCCTATTTATGCTATTGAGTTTGCACCAAATACAAATGGTTTGTCAAAAAAAAAAGAAAAATTGAAAACAGGAAACTTAATTTAAATTATTTTCTGTTTATTTAGGAACCGTCTTATTTGCTGTTACAGGTGGTTCAGAAACACCAGTAAAAAAAGTTTATATGATCGAAGCCCGATCAGGAGATATTTTAACATCATTTGATTCAAACCCGGTAAATTTATTTTAAAATTACAAGGAAATATTCCCGAGGTTTTTGATTGAAACTATATTTGAGTGAAAGGTCATAGTGATTAGTGTAAAAGCCAAGGAAGATTCACTTGTTCAAGCTTTTGCTCTTGGAATATCACACTTTTACTGCATTTTGTTTTTACAGAAAGCGGTGGTTTCCCTCAAATCACCATGAACATCAAATTTTGACTGCAAGTTTTGCACAAATGATGTTCTCAAAGATACTAACTCATTGTGAAAGTTGCAATGATTTAAGTAATCAGTACTTTCGAGGTATCAGTATATAAGATGAATGACTGCCGTTTTATAGTAGAAGGTTTTTCAGTATTCATATGTCAGGATAAGAAAGTCATTTGTGCTAAATTTCATGTCGAAACTAGAAATTTAATTTTTCTTGGTGACCTGAGATTGACTACAGTGTTCTATTACATTTTCTTGTTAGTTAAAAAAATGAATTATTTATTTCTTTGTATTTATTTTGTTCAAGCATTTACTTGCTCCACATGATATTGCTGTATCAACAAATGGTCGTGAAGTTTATGTCGGTGAATTAGCTTTATCACCAATGAATGCTTTACATAAATTTGAATTGGCCAAGCGTAAAGGTTACATTAATTATTCTTTTTGTTTATTAAATTTAGTTATTTATATATATTTATTTAGATCTTCCAACACAAACATTCAGTAAACGAATCTATTTAAACGATAGAAATTTTCGTGTATCATTAATTATTATGACATTCTTTGCCATTCCAGTTCTTCTTGCGGTTATAATTGGATGTTTTGTTCGAATAAGAAATCTTCGTAAACTTCGTCGTTTAAATACATTTTTAAATGATGTTAAAGTTTCAGGTACTGGTTCAGGTTCTGTACTTGGAGATTGGATGAATAGACGAAAAGGATTTGAAAAATTAGATCAATGTTCTGATGGAGAAAATGAACCATTAGATGATAATATAAATGATGATATAAATACGAATTCAAATGATGGAATCAATCAACAACCAACAACATCATCATCAATTAATAATAATGTTGCATTTAAAATGGGCGCAAGTCTTTGAATCTCGAGTCTTTTGAACAGTCATTCCGACAAAAAAAAATAACATTTTGAAATTCTCTTTTTTTTTTCTTTGTGCATTCACTAAAAACAAGAACAAAAACAATATTAATCGAATCGATGTATTTTATTTTTTTTTCTGCCGAGTACAACAAATAAATAAATAAAAAAATAAATAAATAATCTCATTCATTTTCCAGATTAAAAATGCCTTCAACTAATAAACGTACAAAACAAGAACAACAATTAGATGATAACGATGATGATAATAATAATAATAAAGATAAATTTCAAACTATGCAAGTTGATGAATCATTAATAAATAAAGCAAAAAAAATAAAATCAACAGATAAACGATTAATTGTTGTTCTTGAACAAGCGAATTTAGAAACAATTAAAATTGGAAAGGTTTATGAATTACTTAATTGTGATCGACATAAAAATCATCTTTTAAAATATAAACGAGATCCAAATTCAAATGCACGACCTGATATAACACACCAATGTTTATTAATGTTACTTGATTCACCACTTAATCGAGCTGGATTACTTCAAGTAAGATATTCAACAAAATTAACAATAAAATGATTTCTATTTTAACTGTTTTATTTCAATTTCTTTCCTATACGATTCTTTTTTTTTATGTACATTATGTAGCTCTTAACTGGATATGAATTTCTAGAAAAGAGTTCAGGATCTTAACTTATTGCTTCAGAAATACTATAACAATGTTGAATTTTTCAGCTTAAAGTCATACTTTCCTTCGAGAACACCAGAAAAACTAATTCTTAAATTTCGACTTGAAATTTGATGCAGAAACACGTCTGAACGAGAATAGATGGTTATGAAAGTTTTCGATCTTTTGGTTTGCTCTTCTTCTAAAATATGAACCATAAATTTAATAGTATATATAACCGATGTAGAAGACACAGTTTCATTGTAGTCATATTTTAGAACAGAAACAACGAAAAGACCTGAAACTTTCACAGTAAATAATTCTTGGTAAAGTGTATCTCTACCTAATGTTTTAACTAAAATTTCAAAAAACTAATTTTTCTGATGTTACTGAAGAGTTTCGTAGTTTTGACTCAAAAAGAATATCGTATATCTCTGTAACAATAAGCTAAAGATTCGAAATTTTGTCGATATATTCATTGAACATTGTAGTCTACATGATGGGCATAGTGTCCATTTAAAGGTAATCAATCAGGTGAAAAAGTTTCTTGTAAGGCGAATCTGAAGGATGTTGATCAAATTTCTGTTTTTTAGATTGGACATAAGAATGTAAGCCTACGTAAAAATCCCTCAGCTGATTGAATTACATCTCTAATTAAGTATTCTAATGATCACTAATCTGTATTCATAAAGTAGAAATTGTTGTTTCGATACGATCTTCAACCATGAAGTTATAAATGGGTCAAAGTTTAATGCTAGAAATAGCATTTTCTCGAATGTAAAGCTTAGTATCTTTTTACTGAAAACTACATCCAATGATTTTTTTTTTGAAGGTTAACTAGTGATTCAATATCTTTAACACGCATTCCGAAGCAATCCATGAATTTTGAGAAAGTTTCTCAAATGTTTTTGTTAGTCTGCCTTCTTAAATTAATAGGAACTATTTCTATGATCATGTTATTATATGATACATAGGATAGTTTAAATTAAAAAATATATAATGATACAAATGGTTTTATAATAAGAAATCTATTGAGAACAGTAAAATCAAATAGTTTGAAGAGAAGATAAAAGATTAAGATCTATGTATTGATTTTTCGAAATTTATTATTTTATTTTTTCTCTCTTAGGTTTATATTCATACACATAAAGGAATTTTAATTGAAGTAAATCCTCAAACTCGTATTCCACGAACATTTGATCGATTTGCTGGTTTAATGGTTCAACTTCTTCATAAATTATCAATTCGTTCTCAAGATTCTGTTCAAGGTGGTATTAAATTACTTAAAGTTATTAAAAATCCTATAACTGATCATTTTCCTGTTGGATGTAAAAAAATCTCAACATCATTTAGTGTTACATCGTCACATCTTGTTAATATTCGAGATTATGTAAGTGATGAATGTGAAGCTGATCAACCCGTTGTTTTTGTTATTGGTGCAATGGCAAAAGGAAGTGTTAATGTTGATTATAATGAAGATACAATATCAATTTCATCTTATCCATTATCAGCTGCATTAACTTGTGCTAAAGTTTGTGCTGCATTTGAAGATAAATGGGGTGTTCTTTAAACTTGTTTTTTTGTTTAATAAAAATTCAGGATGATTTTTGTTTTGTTAAACATCACTGAAAGATAACATCAATCAAAAATGTTCTTTTCTTTTTAAAAAGAAATATTTGCGACACACTACAATATGATCAGTTGTATCGCTCTGAACATAATGCAATAATCTCTTCTAAAAGACGACTATTCTTTATGATAGCGAATTGATATTTTGAATGATCTGTTCGACAATAAATTCTGATTGCCAACAATAGTTTGCCTTTCATTGGTTTATCTATACTGAAGGTATGGTTCAAACATCATCTTTCATTTTTCATTATCTCATGCCAACCATTCTGGTGCTAATATTTTCGTCCAACTCCTCATTCGAAAGCTCAATGTCGCAGTATATCCATAGTTCGAATTTCGTTTGAATTTACTTTAAAATGACTGAGACATTTTCTTATCATTAGGAATGATCATTGAAAAGTTAACGGTAGTTTCTAGTAAGATAAATTTTTTCTACGATGATGCCAATCAATTCATTTGAGAATTTTACCAAAAGTTTCCACTAAATAAAGATATTGTGCTGAAACTTTTACGGTCGCAGCACTTAATGAAGTCAAGTCAGTGTGGCGACATGATTTCATTATCTCCGAATATGTTAACCACTTGAATCATGTCTATGTGTTACGGACTTTGGTAATAATAAATTAGGTATATGAAATTGTCTTTAAGGCTAGAAAAAATAGTCATAGTTTGTAGAATAGCAACATGACAAATCAAAACGATCTGAATGACACTGCTTTTATCCCAGGCTTTGTATGAGAAAGATTGAGATAAACAAATATTTTCATATTTAATTGATGAAGTCAGCATTACACAAAAACATCTAGACAAAAGAGCATATAATTTAAACAAAAGACATTCTATATTTAAATTATTAATATTCAGTTCCATGCGAGATGAAATGTCTAATGGAAGTTACAAGCTGCTTTCAAACCAACATGTAGAATCTAAAGAAGTAAATTACATTAAGTAAATTACATATTATCTCGAAAAGCAACTTTGATGTGATTTTTCGGCTGGTCATCTTGACATGACAATAATATCGACAGTGAAAAAAAGGAAATTAACAGTGAAACACATTTCCTGTCACGAAATGTATGAACAGATATACAATATATAAGTCTAGAACGCACGAAAATGTGAAATGACTATATTTTTCCTCGTAGACTTTTTCTTCTTCTCATATAATATGCTAATTTTTTATACTAAATTTCTAAAATGCAGTCAATATATGATCAATACCGTGCAGCTATAATTATACAGTTAAGTTATGTAGAAAAAGTATACGATGCAAAGTTAGTAATCATTACTTTTGTTTTGTTACTTCAATGACGAATCTATATGTTTTAGAGAAAAATCTTTTATCTTAAATTAGTAACTATTAGTTGTACGAACTTAATATTTTTTATTATTTTAAGCGACCCAATAATATACAATAGTTACTTGTTCAATAAATTATAACTTTACTATCATCTTTCTTCGTGCTAGTCATGTGTTATGAATGACTTTTGTGTAGTTAAAATATCATTTTTCGTATTGGCATTTTATGCTAACCCTTCTATGCTTTCATAAACACGTACTAGAAGGATTTTTTTTTCTCTTTATAACTATATCTGATTTACATATATCGTACATTCGTAACTAAGATGATGTAAGAAAGAGAAACAGAAACACTTGCACAATAAATAAATGATTTATGTATATATATATTCGTCAAAAAGACCTTGTAAGACTAGAGATATAAAGCGATGCAGTGATCGATGATGGCTTAGTCGATCGTTTTATACTAGGTTTTTAATAAGTTCATATAAGACTGGTCAATTTATAGCATGAATGTTTCTCTTGTTGCATTGTCTCATTTTATTCACGAATATATGATAAATATACATGTAAATGATATCCCTATCTAAATGATAAGAGAATTTCGTATGAACCGATAATAAATAGATCGTTCTAACACATTTTCATAATAGAGCAACACTTTGATCATCTGTTTAATTATTTTACAGATTAAATTCGAACTCGTTTTATATGTACCTTTCTTCCCACGCCATTTTCTTAATGAGTATATCATTAAAATAAGTCACACACAGTTCGAAGGAGGATAAAATTTTCTATCGACTAATAAATATAAATACTCTTTCCGGCACGAGTTTGTGTAAGAATATACGGATCGACATATTGTATTAGTCCTTTTCCATTTTATATTACAGAACAAAAAAAAATTGTCTGAATTAAAAAAAAAGGCAACTTGTCCTGTACTTCTCTAGAGTACATTTGAGATCAACTAGTCGAATAAATACTTGTCAATAAATATAATATTAAGACATATTCTATTCATTTTTAATTAAAAGAAGTAATCATCTAAAGTTATCTTTACGCCTAGTACTGTTATATTCTATCTGAAAATTCGTGTTTACCAAAGATTAGGGTCATGCAATTGGTCAGATATCTCACATATCTTTATTCAACTTCAAATCATTGTATTTCAAAAGAGTATTCTTTCTATCTTGATCTATTTTCTGTTAATTCTGCATCTCCCTCGTTTTCATTAACATGTTAATATACTTTCATTTCATATTTATTTGACTAATGATGTTGAGTTCAGTTTATTAATGAAGACTATCTGATTATCTAGAAATATTATCTCACATCTTTGTTTACAATAAAAATCTACACTTTGCTATTATACAAACAATTCAAAAGTATTTGCCAAGTACTACCGGCATTTTTTTTTATACGTACGGTCAATTGATTCTATTCAATGGTATATTCTACAAAACTTTTTTTTTTGAAACAAAAAAAAAATTATTGAAATATTTGTATTAGGTTTTCAATCAGTAAAACACTTTTTTTCATCACATATGTAAGAAATACGTAGACAATATGAAGTTTTTTTTAGATTTGATTATTTATACTTGTATTAATCTATAGCATGTTTTTAATATGAATATATTTTGATTTTTTCAATCTGAAACTTTCTAGTTGCCTTCAGATCATGCATAGAATACAAATGCTTTTGATATTTTTGGAGTTTAGAAATTTAAAAAATTGTTTCTAGTAAAGCTGTGAGATATTGATTGTCTGGTCAAGTTTATTCAAAGGAGAAAAAACTTCAGTGTTATATCCTATTTTACGTTGATGTGTATATGGTTATTTTTAAGATGTTATTTAAGCATTTTTTAATCAGTTATTTTTGTTGAATCAAAAACAACAAACTATAGCTAATCATTTCTTCTCTCACTTCAACTATCTCTCTCTCATAGAATTACACCAACATCTATATAATTTTGTTGCGCATTACTAACTACGCAATAAATTCCAGTTCAAGGTCAAGAAAAACGTTTTTTTGACTTTTACAAGGATAGAAAAAAGAAAGATAATAGAGATTGAAGAAAACGAACAAGAGTTATTAGATCAACGAAAAAACAAAAGAATACACTAAGTGAAATATCTAACAGAACGAAAGAAAAGACATAGTTGACCACATATGCATATAACAAGAGAAAGAGAACGAACATATATGAATAACATATAAAACATTTTCTCTTATGGCACATCTAACATATGTGCCATAACATTCAGACTTTACTTATAATCTCATATGCATTTTTAAATTGGACTCATCAAGTCAAAACCCTCATAATCGATCACTAGAAGCATTTTATCCTCGCCTACACATTAATTATGAAATATAAAATGAGTATTCGATTCTTTGATTAGGCTCAAGTAATTTCAATAATCTTGAAAGTACATATGAAATCAAATAATCAATTTAGAAGTTTATTTTAAGAGAAAAATAAACAAGAAATAAAATTTCTCAATATCAATCATGTAAGAATGGATAATATATCATTGGATAACAATAGACAGAATGAAAATAATAACATGAAAGATTGTCTACCGATGACGATTGGAATTGAAAATAGCATGGACAGTTTTGACATAGTAGAAAAGATGAATAATTGACTGATGGAATTGGCTAAAACATCAATCAGTGTCTAGAAAGTTAGCAAATACATAAAGAACTGACCATTGGTTGACTTCGAGAGACGGACAATGGGATATTATTTATTGATTGAGTTGAGATCAATCGAGAATCAGTGCGCTAAAAAAACAAATACGAATTGGAAATGAAATTAGAATAAGAAATGATGTATATACACGACGGTTTGAAAACCAATCTTGAACTTGTTTTATGGTTCGACCTGTTAGTTGAACAAGTAAATAACGTTCACTTGCCGATGGATAAGGATTTCGATTGTAGAAATCAAGCAGAATGGATCGTTGTCGTGCTGTAAGAGGTATTCTAGATTTCGGTTGAGAAGAAGGCATGTTTTGTAATATTTTAAATCGATTTTCTTTGATTTTTCTGTCCGCAATTTACTAACACTACTTAATCCATGTTCAGCAAAGAGATCATTGTACTGTCTGATTTCAAACACAGATTACTTAATTAAGTAAATGAAAGAAAGAGCATGATTAAATGACTTATAAATATTATGCATGACTTTACAAGAAATCTTAGCAAACTATAATGGAATAACTCATTAAAATTACAAAGGATACCTTCACAATAAGTAAAGTGTGCTTCGTGGCAAAATATCTTAGTTTTTTTTTTGTCCAATGTGCCATAGGATATGCATTAAGAATTTTTAAATACTCTAAAACATAGCTGACGAAATCGAAGACAATGTATTAATCAATGAAGAACTTCTGTGTTCTTCTTTGTTAAAAGAAAAAAGAATCCCATCTGATAAACAAAAGAATCTTCATGCGTTGAAACTAAATCGACATACATACTTGTAAAACAATATTCTTATTTTTTTTTCTTCGAGCTTTTGGTGTTGGCCTAGGTGTTGAATAAGAACTTAAGTAACTTTCAAATCGATGACATCAATGTCTAATATATTCAAGGACTCTAGTCAGATAATCTGTATTAGTATAATTTCACTTTTAGTTAAATAATATTTCTCTAAATAGAAATCTCTACTAGGAGTCACTAAAATTTTAAAATATTAACAAAGAGATCTTATAGATCATTGATATGTATAAAAAAACAGTACAGAAATGAAATAAATATAATACAGATAATAAAAGAAATCTAAAATGTCAGTAATTAAAAACATTGAGAAAAATTTTCTATTTGAGATGTTTTTACATGGTTCGATAGACCTTGACGAGCTCTACAAAAATATCTATATTGAAAATTATTTTAGCTCATTATTTGAAACAAAAATTTAAAAGAAATTTCAAAAACAACTTTGAAAAAATTCAGTTTTTTTTGCATTTAGAAGAAAAATGGTGGAGTTCCCTACATTAAAAACTAACAATGAAAAACTGAAATCGATTAAACATCTGAGCAGTTTTGTTCAAGTCTAAGGAAAAAATGAATTTTTCAAAGTTGTTTTTACGCTTCTTATAAATTTTGTTTCAAATAATAAGTTAAAATACTTTTTACTATATATATTTTTCTAGAGCTCGTCAAACTCTATTGAGCCATGTCAAAATATCTGAAAACAAGTTTTTCTTAACGTTTGAATTGTTTGCACTTCATATAAAGACGATATAAAAAAAAGAACATAGTGACGTTCAGCATTTTTTTCGAAATTTTCTCATAGATTTGAATACTCATTTTATTGTTAAATAGAACGAGTTTGAATGCAGGTGAGTAATTACTTAACAAGAAGATATGTTGACAATAACTGTTACTTGTTTAAGACTATCACACTCTCGTAGTATAATAAAAGTATGTTATATACTATTCATAGATAAATCTCAAGGTATTAAAAATTCTCTTGTCGTCTTTAAAATTTATGATTGATGGTTAAATTGATAAAATTGATTGTATTTCAGAAAAGAGAAGTTAAAAAGAAAAAAATTAAAACAGTTAATAATACATAAAGAAACATTTTTCGAAAACAAAATGATCTTGTCTCGATTAAAATCTTTTCAATATTAATATAATCGTTCAAATAAACTGGACATACACTTTACACTAAAATGCTATAAATATAAAATAATCTAATTTTAGTTTCTTTTTTCATAGATTCAAGTGAATTCTGACTATATAATCAATCATTATTTATATTTTTTCAATTATTTTCGATTACTTTTGTTTTGTCAAGGACGATTTAATTTGATATTATATCATCATGTTGTTTTCATAGCACTGTAACATATGTATGCTCTTTCCCTTTGTTGTTTTTAAATCAAGTCATTTGCAAGGGCTCTCTTTCTCTCATATTTCTTTCTTTTTTAAATCTTTTTTTTTTTTTTCTATTTTACGATTTTGTTCTCATGCGATTATTATCATTATTTGTATAGTTGAGCCAGAAAAGAAAACGACGTAGGGATATAGCCAAAACTTTCTTTTCTTATTTTACGTCGCTGATTTTGATGACTTTGAAGCTCAATAAATGATTTGTTAATCTGTGAGTTTTTTTTTTTCTTTATTTTTTAACAAGTTGTTGGTTATTTCTATTGTGTTTGTCACCATTATACAATTGAATTATTTATTAAAACTAGATTTTAATTATTATTATTTTTTATTGTTTAATAATTTATTTTCAAGATGTTATACCCGTCAGTAGAGTTATGTTCCTTCTATTGAAGTCAAGTGTTCTTTAGGCATAACGTCATTGTGAACCATCACCTTTTCGGTTATGTATATATACCCAATATGTTTATTCTAAGTCTTTCTCTCTCTCTCTTCGCCGTTTCTTTTAAATACATTGCGTGATATGTCAATTTTAACGTGAAAAACAGTGTTTAAATTTTAAATACTGAAAAAAAAACAACATTAACAAGATATGAGAGTAGACCAGCAAAAGCTATCTGTCATCATCTATTTTATTAGTGAAAGAAAGAGAGATAGGAGAGAAGAAAAAGTAAGATACAACTTGTATACTTACATCACTTTATGACATATTGATAAGAATTGAACTTTTTCTTTCTTTTTTTATTTTAATAGATTATAATGCTTGCTGCAAAACCATTATTTCCTAATGCAAACCCTTCTAAGATTCATTTACCTCCTATCAATAGAAGTCGTCAACGAAGACTTCGACCTCCACCAACACCATCCACTCCTTTAACGGCAGCTAGAGCTGCTCAAATTGATGAGAATATGTCAGCATTAAAAGCTAAATATACTGATTATATAACATGGCTTAAAACATCCTCTCAAAATAATCGTGAACCAGTATTAACGCAAGAATTATTAAAACATTCTCTTTGTCAAATGGGTATTGATTCAGCTCAAGCTGAACAACTTGTATCAAAATGTTCATGGTATGTGTATCAATTTCAAAAAAATCTTGACGTAGACCCTGATCAAAAACATCATATAATAGAAATAGAAAATAGAAAACCAAAACAATATAAAAATAAATCAAAAAAACCAACAACAATAAAAGACAATGCCGAAGATTCGACAATAACCTTAACATCATTTGGCACAGGTATATTAAATAGAAAGAAAAATATTTCATGATTGGTTTTGTTTTTCATAGATGATTCTTGTTCATCGACTTCATTTCCTCCAATACGTAATAAGCATTCTATATTACCTGCAATTAATTCTTCTGGTTTATCACCATCTTCACGTTTACGACGTGTTGATTTTGGTAGTGAGCATGTTAAAAATTCTGTGTCTAGTTCACCTTTATCACGTTGGCAATCAACTTTGACCAAAACACGAACTTCAACAAAACTTCAACCATTAGTAACAGAAACAAACAATAATGACACAAAACCTCCAACTGATTTTGATCCATCTTCTCAAAAACCTTTACGTCGACATGGTTTAGTTGCTGGTCATTTACGTTCAATACTTCGTAAACAAACTAGCTCATCGCAATCAGTTACATCAACAGAAGTTAGCATTCGAAAAATGCGTAGTCAAATTTTAACTCCATCATCGACAGTCTTAGATGATATACCATTAGGAACACGATCACAACTTTTATTTGGTGGTAGTGAGTGTTTTGCTCAGATAATGAATGAACTTGAACAACAGAAGAAGAATATGTAATATACATATATACATATGTATATAACCCCTGTTGCAAAAGTCTTGAGACAAAATGTTTGTTCAGTTTTGGATCACTTAGAATTAGTTTGAGAAAATGGAAAGTAGTCAACTAGAATCAGAATTTGATGCTCTCTCTAAACGTGTATTCAGAATTTTTCTCTAACTTGCAGTTGATTCAGGAAGACCAAATGTTTGATGATGATCATAAATCACGTTCGGACAAAAGAGTAGTTTCGAAGGTCTTGGTAAATAAGTTGGTTGATTTTTCAGATGTTTAAATGTAACTGAAGAGTGTCAAAAGTAGTCGGTTAGAATCTGAATTGGATACTCTTTCTAAATACATCCTTAGAATTTTCCCTTGACTGAAGGCCAGTTAGCAAATACTTGAATCAATAAAGATGTCGTTTGTACTTCCCAAATAGACTTTTCCTCTTATTCGTAATTTCTCTAAAGGATATTTACGGATGCTTATTATTTTCTATTCTTGTAAAGAATTTAATATACAAGAAAATCATGGATTGCAATAAGCTAAAACTCAAAAGAATCAAAAGCTCGAAACATTTTTCCAAATTCTACTCCCTACATGAGACGTTTTTGTGGTTTTTAGTATTTGAAATGCAACGGATTCTGGTAATTTGCAAGAATATGCAGAAAGCAAAGCGAATTGGGCATTTTGTAGAGGAAACTTTGTTCTATAAACTGGCATATAAAAACACTTTCCTACAATTTGAATTGAGGTAGTTTTAATCAAAATACAAAAACGCATTACATAAAATATTCTGTCCAAACGTGATTTATGATCGTCATCAAACATTTGGTCTTCCTGAATCAACTGCAAGTTAGAGAAAAATTCTGAATACACGTTTAGAGAGAGCATCAAATTCTGATTCTAGTTGACTACTTTCCATTTTCTCAAACTAATTCTAAGTGATTCAAAACTGAACAAACATTTTGTCTTAAGACTTTTGCAACAGGGGTTATATTAATGTTTATTCTGTATAGTGTATTATTAAAAAAATAGTGTTTTTGAATATTTACAACATTTGTTGTCGTATGGCAAACAAACTAAATAATAATGTCAAATAAATGCTTGTAAACCTTGAAAATAGGCATCATTTTTTTTTCTTTTCAATGTGAGAGAGTATATACAAGTTAAGTGGCTACATTATAAGTAAAGAAAAAGAACTAACCTATGCCTTACACTTAAACTCAATCATTTAAAACGTCATTAAAAGAAAATAATTCATAATGATGCTTGCTTTTTTCTTTTAATTCTCTGAATCACTTAGAATGTGACTTTATTTTTAATGAATAACAATCAAAAGTCTTTTGATAGTAATCATGTCAAAGATGTTAAAAAGGCTACAATTATTTGTAGTGAAATAGCATTACGTATACATTTGTTAAAAAAATGATGTGCAAAAATCTCTGTATTCAAACCTAAAGATCTTTGACTGAAAAACAGTTAAACTCTACGACAATTCATTTACTAAGGACAAAAGTCTTTCAGATTGCATTTTTCTAATGTAAAATATAGAGTTCATGGTTAGAGCAAATTTTGTAGACATATATATATATATGAATAGTACAAGATTAAATGTTTATAGTAATAAATTAAAACTTAAAGCAAAGATAAAAAGGTATTGATTTATCGTTTGAGTTCTCTAAATACATTCTTGAATCAGTTTTGTTCGTAGATTATTGCATATTTGATTAACCAGATTCTCTAATTGAGAATATAATATTCAATTATGTCAATGGTCCAGTTATAATCGTGATATGAACACTAGTGAACTAGTACGGAACATTATATAGAAAAAAATTAAAGAAAAATAATCGGAAATCACAATATAAACTAAACGATGCGACTATAAGGAAGCATGTAGTGATCTATCAAGAAGTGTTGTCCAAGAATGTATTTAAAAACTTTCGACGCTATATCAACACTTTATATCTTCATTTTAAACTTATATTTGTATTACAAGACTCTACTCTTGCATTATTCATACATATCTATTTGAAGATACATGTAGACCATATATATTGGTCGATCTTTTTAAGTGTTATACTTAGTTTAGTCAAAAACTTCTATCACTTTTAGATTGTTTCAATTCAATTTGTGAGATTTTTCTATGTTCGCTAATAGATCTCGAATGCAAAGTCTAAGCTATTAGATAATTGATATGTTTATAATGGAGTTTTGTGTACACTCTACTGTAAAGATAACGGCATAACTAAAGATCAATGGTCGGACAAGTATCATGGATAAATCATAACTTTAGTTTCTTTCCTTGAGAAATAATCAGAAGAATATCTTTCACATATTTATTTTGAGTATAATACTAAAATTTTATATAACTTCATCTTGATGATAGTTTTTGTTCAATTATTTTTTTTTTTAACTTCATTTTTCAACATTAGAACCGTTATGGTTAATTGTATTAACTGTTCTATTGGATGTCTGACAACAAGTAATAGTCTGTTAGTCATAAAAAGAATAAAAATAAAACATAGTATTGTCATGGGTTTTTTTTTAACATTTCTATGAAAACTTTTTTTCATCTACTAATCGTAAATTTTAATCATTGTTTTGATTCAATATTGTAATGGTGTATTCTCATCTTATTAATATTGATGATTTTATATAGATTTGTTCATCTACTTCAAATGTCTGTAAAGTTTTTAGGGCTTCATTAACAAATATCAATGCAGCAATAACTGAAGATTGTTAACAAATACAAAAAGTCATCGCAAAATGGATTGAAGCCATGACATTCTATATAAATTATTATGCTAAGTACCTTGAACATTTACTGTAAACAAGTCAATAAAAATATCTTTTTTCTTTTTATAAATACCTTAATTTCAAAATAGCAGAATATTTTGATTGACTCAAATAGAATCATTCTGATCTTTGAAATTAGATTGTGTTCTATTGTGAGATTTTTTTTTTCGAAACATAGGAACATGAAGTAAGGCTGTAATTTGTGAAATACATGTGATAAAAAGAAAAAAAGTTATACATTATGGAAAAATTAAATGACAAATGTCGTCTTGTTGAAGTTTGTTCTTCAATCTGAAAGTAATGCTTTATCTCAACGAATAGAATGTGCTGACAATTTGTAGATCAAATGAATAAATAAAATCAATTAAACTAATGTTCATGTTATTAATTATAGGAAAAAATAAATTTGAAATTTCAGAGAGATATCCGATACACATGATAAATTTGTCACAATAGTAAAAGTCATAAAGTTTTACATTTCAATTAATTGGATCTGCTAAAGTTATTGTCAATGTAGATATTGTTGAATTTGGTTCAAATATGTTCTTTTTCGAGAAAACAGTATGAAGAAAAGTTTTTTGATGTTTATATGTATATTAAAGATTGCTCATATCGTTTCGTAGATCCTTCATTTATCAAAACAAAAAAAAATCTTCTGATATTGATTATCATTTTTCATAAATAATTATGAATTTTTTTGATTCGATTTTTAATAGAAATTCTAGTAGAAACCCACATGTCAGCTACAAAAAACTCTCGCCAAATTTTGGAATCTCTATGGCATCTTATCAAAGTGTCCTATGAAAGGCGACTTTTTTTCTTGTAAATGTTTTGAGTATTTACGTTAAAAAATAGTTACAGTCTTCTACAGCCGTATTTCAAGAGATAGGATGACTTACACGGTTCAACAGGAAAAGCAAATATTCCCGTGTGGTATACAAAGAAATATGATAATTTACTGAGACGACAATACTCTCTTACTGTCTTGGTATACAGAGGTCATATACAATTTTGATATTGCTATCTATGCCTTCAAGTATGACTCTATTAGTTCATATAAGATCATTTCAATATACGATCGTAATACTGAATGATATAAACCACTAAAGTGCGGTCGTATACGACACAATAGGTTTGATTACAAGTATGTACAGGCTTCCTATTCATTGTTCGGGGCATAAATGATATTCACCATTTCTTTTTCATAACATCAAATAAAGTAAATAGAAAAAAGTTATACATATTCTTTTTTTAAAATTCAAAAGACTAATAAGACTCAATCATTTTGATCGCTGTAGCTGTGTCGTTTTTGAAAAAAAAGAAGTTTATCATCAAGCGATCGGGAAAATTGTCAGATTTCATGGTACTCTACTACCGAAAACTAGAGCACTACATTTCTTTGCACTCTAGAAACATTCCATAATGTAAATGAATTTTAAAATGATTCAACCTCTAGTAATTTGTATCAATAGTTTTGGCGAAAGCTATCAGGAACAAGAATGAGGATAATGATGACAACATATACATGGGATAGATCATCTGAATGATGATAATCGTTGACACAGACACAAATATGAATTGAGAACGTATCTCATACATTGTTCGTAAACGAGTTTATTTTCATTGTCTGACACACATAGAATGAGTCAGAAACAGATAATATCCTGTGAGAATAAAAACGGCGAAATTCATGGATAACAAAAGTATGCTTAAAACAATACAATCAACATTTTAAAAAATCTTGGTACAATGTTTACTAGTACTCCTTTTTCTAAAGAATAAGATCTATTACTGGCAACATTTTACCATCTCAAGAATAGTTTAGATGGACTTTGTTCACAGTGGGATGCACCACTAGTGTAATTATTAGTATCAAGCTAACTTCAATGAGTATAGTTATCTGCGAAGAAATATTTTAGAGAAAAATAACAATTGACTACCCATTCAGTGGTCGTTTTTGTATCCTTTGAACATATTGAACGTAGATTTTATTATGAACATAAATAATAAAAATCATCAATAAGCTGTAGAAATTCTTGTCAAAAAATCAATCCTCAGAAGAAGTCTTGTAAAATATCTTATGCTTTATTTGTCAAAAAGAATGAGTGTTTTCTGAAAAATATATAATAATTTTGAATTATTTTTTACTTCACTCAAGTTATGAATTCTCTAATAAGTAATTCGCATAGATTTATTAAAAAAATAATGACTTCAAAAGAACATCTAGAGAAAAATACAATATTTTTCGTGCATGAATCTTGCATAATGAATTCAAAAGACATATAAAAATATTGTTCATTTATTCAATATTCATTGTATATCATCTTTTAAGACAAAACTTGTTTTAATGAACCATTTTTATGACAAATATTTAATTCGAATAAAGAGCCAAAATAAAGCTGATCGATAAAAATATATGGACTCTAAAACGAAAACAAAATTTTCTTATGTTTTTTTTTTCTTGACTTTTTTAAATACTTGACGACGATCCGTAAAACAAAGGTATCGAAAATAATTTTCTAATTGTCTACAATCTTGTCGTTTTTCAATATCAACAAACTCATATATATCTCAAAAAAAAAAAAAAAGAACAGAACAAAGTAATAAATTTGTTTTTCTTATTTTAATTTACCTTTTGGTAAAGAATATTCCTCAAATATTTGTTGAGCTTTTTTTGAATCTGGATCATTGGATTTTGTAAACATGATAATACGCCGTTTTTCTATTTTCATATCAACATAAAATTTCGTTCCAGCTGCCATTTAAAAAATAATCTACAAACAATAAAATAAAAGAAAATTAGTTTTCTTAATAGTTTATTCAATAGAAAAAAAAAGAAAAAAAAAAAAAAAGAAAGAATAAATGTCAATCTTTCAATCGTGATGTTGGTCGTTGACCTAAACAAATAAAATTAATATATGATTAAATCACGAATTTTAATATAATTATCTAACTTATTGATCTAATACTTGATGTAGCACGTGGTTTTTCTGGTATAATTGGTTGTGATACTTGAGTCGATTGTTGTTGTTCTAATAATTCTTTTGCTTCACGTTCTTTAATTTGTTGCAAGCGAATTAATGGATTTTTATGAAAAAGAAGAGTTTCTAATGATTGATAGATAGAAGATTTTACAGATATATCCTTCATATCCTTATATGAAAATTTTTATATAGAAATGAAATTAAAAATAAAAGAATCAAGTATCTACTTTAAGTTCTAGTCGACAAAGGCCAGAAAATTCAATTGATGTAGCAGTCGTTGATGATATACTTGCTGTATCATTAATATGTATTAATCTTGTTTGATATTGAATTGAAATAAGAAATTCATTAACACTAGTTAATGTTAAATAATTTCCTTGAATAAAAAAATTAAATCACAAAAACAAAAAGATTTCTTTTAAAATTTTAAAATAATTCTTTAACATACGAGATAAATTTAAATTTAAAAGAACTAAATTTCCTTTTAAACTTATTTCACCATTTTGTGATTCAATGTCATTCAATTCTAATAAAGGATTTTCACGTTCAATCTGTTGCACTGGAAGAGGAGTTAACTAGACAAACAGATTTTATCAATTGAAAGAAAACAAACATACAAGAGCGAGCAAAGAAGAAGAAGAAGAAGAAGAAGAAGAGGAGGAGGATATTTGCAGAATAGAATACTTTTCCTGATAAACATGTTATAGATGGATGATCCTAAGATAATGAGAAATGTATGTTTTTTGCTAGACTTTAATAAAAGAATAGAAAATAAAGCAATGAATAATGCACTACTAAGCATGACTGTTAAGATCAGTGGATAAGTGATAAAGCGATAATGATAATTGATGTTTTGTATTATTTATGCTAATGGCAGTTAGTGAGGGAATAAAAATTGACCTTCACTGAATGTTTAGAATGCGCGCAGCGGCTTACCATTGTCTGCCTAGAAATGATGTCAGAAAGATAGAAATAGTTTCCATCTTTCGGTCAAGTATCACACAATAGTTTGATATTCCTAAGAATCGATATAGTATTATGTTATCTATATTATCTATTGACTAATTTTACCTAATTCGTTTTCAATATTTGACAACATAATTGAATTACCAGTAGAATTTAACTGACAAATTATTGAATTTAGTCTATAATAGAGTATGTGACAGAAGACTTATCTAGTGTAATGTATATAAGAGGGGCGACCGAAATTTTTTTCTTTCTGAGATATGGTCAAACTCTTCGAAATATAATTTGAAAATATAGAGTTAGTCATAAGTAACACTACAATAAAAATTTGAAATATCCTCACTTCGATCTTATTAGTTCTATACGAATTATCTAGACAAACACTACTGTTAAGTATGATGGTTAACATCACTAAAGAGAGGTTACCTACTGTCAAATAAGAAAAGCAAATTTGAGGCGTTTCATCGATATTTTTCAGTTGTCAACTATGAGAATAACTAGAAGAAATTAAAACAAAACTTTCAAATAATACTATATTGATGTACATAGAGAAAATTATTAGAACTACTTAGTGAATTAAAATGTTGAAATTTCTGTTTGATAACTACAGCATAAAAAATAAAGTCTTATTAACACAACATGTTTTGTAAAAATCAAGATTTCATGCTTGAAAAACTGACGTCTTGTAATTTTTTGACTTTCAAACTAATTAATTCTGATAATTTTATTTTTAATTCTCGTGCAATACTAATTATAAAATTTGTTTTGATTTCTTCTTGTTACTGCCTTAGATGACAACAGGAAACTATCTATGGAACGACTCACATTACGTTATAATATTTAATAACAGATAACAGTTCTTTAGTGACATTAAGAATTCAATATAATACTAGTGTTTCTTTAGATTATTCTTATGATAGGAAAAGGCTTTGAATAAAACTTCTATCACCAATCCAAGAATAAGACGAATTGATTGAATCAAACCGTCGATATTTGAAATTTTTATCATCATGTTACTTACAGCTGATTCTCCATATGACACACTCCAACTAACTTTTGAAGAAAATCGCACATTAAAAGAGAATGAGTCTTCACTCTCAGCGTATTCTAGAAAATATTTTCTACAATGAACTCATCTGTATGATAGAATTTGTTTATCAAAAAAGAAAAAAAGAATATCTCTAACTATCGGACTTTGTTCAATTTTTTACATGAGCTAAAGATAAATTTTTATCAGACTAAATAAAACTTTAACATCCAACGATCCTCATGGTTATATATATATATCATTAGGCTTTTATTATGTTAACTAGTTAGTTCGAATCCTTTCCTGCTTTTTATGATTTCCCAAACATCCAAAAACATAAAATCAAACAATGTTCGAGCAGTTTCATCTTAAACAAATTGATTTGATTCATGACAAACTTAAATATTTATTCAGATATTTTGTGGATAAAAGCCAATTATTTACTTCGTCAATTATATCTTCATCTTCTTCTTTTACAATTGATATATTTTTTTTCGATGAAGAACCAGCACCTGGTGTTAATTTCTTTTTGCGGCCATGTGCAGATCCTCTTCCTTGATCTATTTCAATACAAATTTGTTTCTTTTTTTTTTTTACAAAGAAAGTCATTCAATATACCACTAGATGACCGATGGGGATTAACTGATGATGATCGACCAGCGGTACCATCACTTTTTCCTTTCTTTTGATCAGTCTTATTTGCCGATGGTGGACGATTTTCATCTGAAGCAAAACTTTTCATAGATACATCGTTATTAAAATATATTTACCACCAGATTCAGTTCGATGACGTTTATCCTTAAAAACTAAAATATTCTGATATGTTAGAATTACATAATATTTACTGTAGTTTTTCCTGTGATTGATTTTCGACGTTTAGTCTGATCTAATGTACGTTTTAAATCAGTACGATTATCACGACTTGATTTACTTTTTGTTGATACAATCGAAAGAGTTGGTGATGGAGCCTTAAGTGAAAACATTATTATCGAATTTCGAATAATAATTATTCCTTACATTATTTCTTATTTCATCTAAATGTCTTTCATCATAACGATTAGATAATAAATGTCTTCGTTGAATTATTTCTTCTTCTGTAAGAATAATTTTTCGTAAAACCTGTAAAATAATTAATTAATATTTATGGATCAACTATTTCTGACTATATTTGATATAATATCAAAAAACAATTTTCTATCAAATAAAGTCAATAGACAAAAAAAAGGAAAGAGGAATTCATGAGGAATACAAGATATAAAACCTACCCTATTTAAATCTAAATAAATATAGTTATTCTCTTTAAAATCAAAATTTAATAAATTACTTACTAATGCTATAGCACAAGCACCTCTATCGGTGATAAAATTCGATGAAAGATTGAGAGAAATTAATGTACGATTATAACGTAAGGCCTCAAAATAATCGATGTTATTTAATTGAATAAAGTCATTATCTTTTTTTTTTTTATACTTTTGCAAATGATTTTGCACCATTATCACCAAGTTGATTACCGGATAAAGTTAAGGTTAATAATTTCCAATTTTGAACTGACATATTTCCAAGAACATGAGCAAGACGTTCAGCACCCTTATCAGTTATTTTACAAAAACGAAGAGAAAGATGAGCGATTCTATAGAAATTAAATTATAATATTATTGAAGAAAAATGAAATATAGATTTTACTTTAAAGTATCCTTTTCAATTAATATATGAAAATGTTCTGCAGCTAATGGATTTCCATCAAGCGAGACAGTTCTGTACATAAGAAATCAATAAATAATTTTAATCTTTTAACTTTTCTACTTTAAATTTTTGATTGATTGACAAACTTCAGTGAAACCATAAATAGTTTGTTCATTCAAACCAACAAAACAAAAACTATTTGTAAAATAATATAGATATATATACAAAGCACAAACGATGAAATATACTTGAGAGTATGTAATTGTTCTTGTAATGGAAGAATCTTTTTCAAAATATCAATAAAACGTTGATCAAGTTGCCAAGCTAACAAAAAGAACAACGATTAATTTAACCCTTAAGAGCCCAATATCTCTTCCAAGGGACATTAGAATAATTTCAATAAATTCCACTACAAGTGCTTATATACAAAAACCAACATTTTTCTGAACCGACATGATCTTAGTAATCATACAGAGATGAAAATCTAAATTCTCAAGTGACTCTTAAGCGGAAGAATGAATCTTTTACAACTCATAATTTTTTTAGCACCACTTTTCTTTTCTGAAGTTTTTATTATTCATATAAGCGACGAGCCGCTTTGGTTTTTTTTAAGTGATATTGTTAAATATAGTGTTAAGGTATCTGATGAAATCATCTCGTAAATTTTAAACCATTCCATTCACGCAGGACACTATCATAAAGAAAATATTCCTTCTTTGGGATATTTCGCTTCAAGAAAAAGTCGAAATAAAGGGATTTTGACTTGAAATTTTGGTCATAAATAGCTGATACGCTATTTAGATTATCCTGAAATTTTCAGCAACAACTGTTGTTTACTCTTGGAAATACGACATGTTGAATCGAAGTCGAATTTTATGAGTTTTTTGCAAAATGTTGCCGATTTTTTTCTGCGTCCAATATCTCAACAACAAAGCATCCGTTTTGACTGAAAATTTCAGAACAATTTGAGGATCATATAAACAGATTAAGGACGATATTTCAGATCGAAATTATTTTCTTTCAGGTTTTTTGAAGGTCCAAGATTTCTGCTAAAGAACGTTGTGTAACTCTAGAGGAAGAACAAGGTACTTCGTTTTAGCTATAGTATGAGCATACTGAGAGCCTATCAGCTCTATTTTTATGGTTGTCTTCCTTCTGTTGCAAGAAAAACCCCCTCGGGCTTTTAAGGATTAATAGACTACTAAACTAAATTTAAACAAATACCTTTCATATAAAGAGCATTTATTTGATCTATTGGTTCATTTTCATTACCGATTGAATCTACTAATAATTTTGGATGAAAGAAATCACTATCACGTATTAGATGAAATGTCGTATAATGTGATGAAGACGATTTCGATGGTTCTTGACCTGTTACATATTTAAAAGTTTCGTTTAGTATATATTTTAGTTACCTGGAATACTAGATGATTTATTATCATTATCAACACCTGCCAAAATTCCACTCTGGCTAATAGAAGGAATTCTTCCACGCGATAATCGCTTCAATTGAGATGACATCTGTTCTTCAGCAATACCACCAACAAGCGATGGAGTAACTGATACTCCTGAATGGGTACCTGATTGTTGTGAAACTGAAGGAATCTGTGATGATGGCGGTGGGTGACCACGAATGTACACAGGAATATTTACAGGATAACCTGAAGATGGTTCACGACAACAAAATTCTAAATCAACAGCAAATCGACCAACGCATTGCTGATTTTCTATAGAGAATATCAAGTCTATATGAGAAAAAAAACGAAAATGAAATGTAATAACCTTGATCTTCTGTTGCTGCCAGAGCAACTTGAGATTGTCTACGGCTTTTACTTGTATTGTCTGCTTTTTTTGGACCCATCACATATAATTAAGATTCAAAAATCAATACAGAAGTCTGAAAACTGTATGGTTTCGATACCATATCAATTTTGATCCACATCGAAACACCCTCATCTCACGAAATTCGAACACGAATAATATAACAGATGGCGCTCAGTTGTGGCTTAAACATTTGATTTATTTATTTATTTTTTATTTTAAATAACTTTTAAAATAGTTAACATGAACTCATTTTTATCAAATTTCAGTTATATTCGATTTTTTCAATTATCGAATTTTCTATTATTCAGCAATTTAATTTCAGTTTCGTATTGATACTTACTTTATTTTAATCAAGCATTTGTGAACTTAGTTTATTAATTTTCTTAATTGTATCTGCTTCTTTGATTTGCTACACGGAACAGTGGTCTTTTTCTCGTCTATTTCCTATTGTACTTCTGTCGGAGTATTGATTTTGTAGCGAAGACTTTTTTGATGATATATACTACAGCGCTCACTTTCTGACATCATCAATGCAGCACTTTCAACGAGCGGTCGAGAAAATTTTTACCATAGAAGCCAATCATTATCTTGAAAAATATATAAAAACTCCCTCCAGAGTTCTTTACACTAGTCTGTAGACGGTTTAAAATCATGCTTGAAATATTATGTACTAAACAGATCAAATATACTAGTGTCGAGTTCTTTTACAATTTTGTTGATCGTTTATTTTCACTGTTAAAACAAAAAAAACACTTGTTCCGATATGAACAACAGGCTTTGCCATTCTGTGACCTATCTGGAAAATGGTCGAGAGAGAAATCGAAAGAATAGTCAACTTAACGACCGCTAGAGTTTTCAACAGGATTGTCGAGAGAAGTGAATTCTGATAGAGTCAGTATTTGACAAGTAGTTCTGACATTTACCATAGCTGAAGCATTATGTTGTAATTTTTAAGTGCTTCTTCATTATTATGTCGAGACTGTTCTTGGTTGGAGAAAATTTACGTTTTACGTTAATTTGATCAGACACATGACTGAAGTAGGTGTTGAATCAAATAGAAATGTTGTTCCATTGCACGCAAACATTTGGCTGTACTCTTTAAATAGGAAATGAGGTTTCATGATTCATACTATTTGATATTTTGAAGCATGAACAATAAGCGGTATTTCAGCATGCATGGAATGAATAAAATAAAATATCCGTCAAGGAACAACCATGCATCATAAGTAGATTTCATAAAACCTGCAACAAAAGAAGTGAACACATAGAAAACGGTAGTTATGAACAAGACAAATGGATCTATGATAAGAAGAGTCTATTCCTGAAATTGTTCACATAATAGGTGTTGATAAGTTTAACGAGATTCAACGATGAACCCTTGCTGAGTATTTGTTCTGAAGATGATCAAGGGCGAGATTAGAGTGATGAAAAATGGGAATGAAATAATGAAAGAGATGAGTGGGCGAATGAAAGTGTTGAAAACTAGACAACTAAGTGACAATGCATCGAATTCATTTTTCTTCATGATCTCATCAGCACAAAAAGACGATGGGGATGTGAATTTATGTCAAGTAAAGTTGTTCTTTTCACTCATACACACACACACTACTCGCCTGTGATAATGGTGTCTTATTTACGACAATTTTTTATTATAAAATATAGAGAAGCACTTTCAGAGATTTTGACAAGCCCAAACTGAACTGAATTTGAAATAATACAATTTGATTCGTTGCAGTTAAACTAAATTATCACTCATATAAGCTATGTTGAGTAAGATATAAACGTCATTCATGAATCTGTTGACATTCTTCTTACATGATAAGTCGAATGAGAGTATCGTATTAATGAAAAAAAAAGAATAACCTTGAGATTTCGATTGTGTTATACTCCTGATGATTTGTATGTCATCACAGTGGAAATTTTTCGATAACAAATTTTAAATTAAGTAAGAAATAAAATGACAGTGATAGAGATAGGGAGGAAGCCGTTCTCTTTTTCTTCTGTCTATTTACCAATCATCATGATGATAGAGAAACAAGAATTTCATAATTTTGAAGAAGACATTACGAAATTACAAAAACAAAAATCTAGATTACAAGATTTTTCGTTTTGTTTGTTTTTGCAGAACAAGTACTCACGCTACAAGAAAAAAATGGAAATTATGAAGTTAGAATCATTAGCTAATGAACTTATACTCGAACTATTCGAGTTTTTCAATGCTATTCAACTCCTTCGTGCATTTCATGGTCTGAACTTTCGCTTTGATACACTTCTCGATGTACATTTTCGAGATTATAGTCTTGATTTTCGATCTGTCTCCAAACGTGACTTTGACCTATTCTGTCAGCAACAGCTTCCATCACTCATCGATCGAGTTACTTCAATTTGTCTATCAGATGGTGATGAAACTCCAAATATATCCAACCATTTTCTGTCTTACAGTTTAACGATGAACATGTTAACTAATTTACGTTCACTTGCACTTTATGGCCTTCCTTCTATAGTTATTGTACAAAAGTTCATATTGGATTGTCGTAATCTTCCATGTTTTACGCATTTGAAAGTGACCGAATGTCGTTTTGAAGTTCACGCGGCATTTATTCATTTCATCAACAATGTATGGCATCTAACCAAACTTACTCATTGTCATGTTGAAAACATTTTCGAACCTAATATTCGTCTTGTCGCACCAAAAGTGTCCTCGTTATCGATCAAGCATCTTTCAATCATGATTACAACATGTCAATTGAATGCGTTAGCTCATTTACTCGAAAAAACACCTAATCTTCGACGACTTAATGTCAATATTACGTCTAATGGTAACAGTGATGATGATAAACAAATGCAAGTGGTTCATTCATCGATCACTACCCTGACACTCTTGTTTCATCCTTCGATAGAAAAAATGCAAAATTTATTTCGAATAGTGCCCAATTTATTTCATTTAACAATCAATACAACGAGCATTTACTTGAATGGACATCAATGGAAACAGATCATTGTCAATCAACTTCGAAAGCTAAAAATCTTTCGATTTCAAATGACATTTTCTTTTCCTGACAACAATACCAACAACAACAATATAGAAGAACAAATAGATCTACTACTGGATACATTTCGAACTCCCTTTTGGCTCAATGAACATGGCTGGTTTGTTCGATGTGATTGGAATGCACAAATCATTGATAATATATCTCTCTATACTGTACCTTATGCTTTTGATGCACTCTCTATTCATCATTCTAAACGATCAAAATGGACTTGTCCAAATGATAACAACTATTGGTCTTATAATTATGTGAAGAATTTTTGGTATGAAAATGATTTATTTCAAGATTTGAATCTCTTTCCTGCCCATTTCCCCAATATTCACCATTTACGATTACGACTTCCCGTTAACGATAATTTCTGGTTTGTCATTCCTACATTGCATAACCTAATTTCACTCAATCTTTCATTGCGTCAAAGTCGGACTATAACTCAAATAAATGCTTTATTTGATCTAATACCTAATGTTTATTCATTGACTATTGAGCCGTCATTATTTTCACGAATAGCAACATTAAAAACAATCAATAAATCAATTCGTCGATTGAATCTTTTTGATCTTTCTGGATCCTATTTTGATAGTGTTCAATGTTCACTCTTGGCTGATTCATTACTTGGATGTCAATGTGAAGTTCTTATTATTGGTGTTGAACATCGAACAAATGCATACTTTTTGATCACTCACATGCCCAATCTTAGAGTGTTGATATTTCGATGTCGAGATGATAAGTGGCATGAGAATAGATCGTCGTCCACGAGAGATGAGCTTCTTAGTTGGTTAAAGAACCGATTGCCATCTACATGTTCGATCAGCAAAAACGAAAAAGCTCCTTTCAAAATTCGAGTATGGATTGGCTAAATAGTCAACAGTATAATGGGTTACCCGAAATTTGCTCATATGACTTTCGCCAACACAACCCCTAGAATTTCGCTAACATTGCAGTAAAATAACTGTAAATGAAAAGTTTTCACCGGCTACATGATGAGGTTTTATTCGTCTATATTGTGACCATAAGTTTCATGTCTAGTTCTAGATTTTTTTGGAATAAAGTCTATCACAAATTGGGATGCCACATTATGAGCTCGGACTGATGCTGAAGCAATATAGCCATTGAGTCAAACAATCTTATCTTATTCTCCAAATCTTTAATGTCTTTAATTTTTTTCAGCGTAAGATAACCGTTTTTCTCAACCTATTGTTCAGCCGCATCCAAACTTGTGGGAATTCGTTCAATGTCTAAAGCAAAAAAAGCAGCCTGTAAAACTAAACATATTGAAAAATTGATGCGCTTCTTGTAGTCTAATATAAGATCATTAGCTAATACAACCAAGTCTCTTGTTCATCTTATTGGCAAGCCTAGTTTTCTTACACGAAAAGCAAAGCAAAAGAAAAATAATGTTTCCAAATCAAACTTGTCAGATTCATCCTCGAATGAACATTAGGCTATGCATTTTATGTTTTTTTTGTCATATTAATCTCGCTTATTTTAAAATAAAAACATGACTCTTTCATATTCGAATGCGCTCTTCATATAAGCTATGATATGTATATATTTTTCTAACAGCATCAGGTTCAGTCCTTATATGTATTCAATATTAATATGTTTTCGTCATAGATGACGAAAGTCCTATTGATGAAAGTCTTTTTCGCGAAACTCCTGAACCCCACTATAAGCCCACTATTAAAAGACAGTGTCTACTTGTAACTCGCTGATCAAGCTGATGTTATTCTAACGAGTAGGATCCGATAAAACTAATAAAATCTCAAATCAATGCATTCGTACATGATACTTTTTTCAAATGACAAACGTTTTCATTATTACCGTTTGAAAATTTGTATACGAATACTATAAGCGGCTCTCTGAAGTTTTCAACAACATTCAGATTTTCAGAAACACAGAATCGTTAGATATATGTCTCTCAAGCATTATAAAGCTTCATAATCTCGTGATCACAGAAGTCACCTTGCCACTTGAGTAAGTCTCTTTCGTTTCGAGCTTGAACACTTAGAATATTTACCCTTCATATAATACAGGTGCTTTCGGATAAGTACTTCACTGTCTTTGTTCTTCTTGGGTTTGTTGAGTCGTTTGAACGCTGCTACGTTATTCACGTGAACATCGTTTTTTCATATTTTTTGTTGCATTTTTTTGCCGAGATGGGTTATAGTAAATTTGTGACTGAAACGACATCGTCAAATAAAAAACAGTCATCGCAGACAAAAGGATGTTTAGAGGTGCCACACTCACGATCACACTACACCTTTATGCAATGAGTGAGCATAACGTGAAATGATACTCCATAATCCATCTTAACTATTTCATAGTGGATGCTAAAGACAAGATGCTCATCCACATCTATATCCTCAAATGTACACTTGATTTGCCTTTTCCACTCTTCAAAATCTCAATATCGATCATCGAGTTACGTCATTTGCATCATTCCTCTCATCAACGAATCAGAAAAATTATACATGATAAATAGAAAGGCAACAAAGATATTTCTCTTTTTTCGTTCGTTTTCATTCGTTCAAGTTAAATAATTACAGTGCACTTCAATTGGTTTTCCCCCTTTTGTTTTCTTTGTTTTCATCACTAGACTTCTTTTATTTATTAACTTCCTATATATAGGAAGAAAGTTTAGAACGCGCTGCATCTTTCGATATATTTACGTTATATATCAAATGCAGTTTGAAGCATAAAAAATGTACTAGAAAAAAAGGTGATATTTTGTTTTTACTACATGATGTCCATAATGTTGTAACATTTTTTATTTTGCATATATCTCGGCTTAGATAAATGATAAAATCTTGAATTTTTTTCCAAAAGATGCGCCATGAAAATCTCTATCAAGACTGCATAATTGAGTTCCTTCTTACCTGTTCTAGTGGTTGTTCTTACACTCAAAATGAACAAGCTACATTACAGTGTCACTCTCATCATATTGCAAATGTTTGGAACACTTTTTTGTTTTGCTTATATCTTGACTTGAGAAAATGATAGAATATTCAATTTTTTTAAAAAGATGCGCTGTCGAAAGCTCTACAAAAGCTGTATGGATTAATTTCTATGGCGAATCAAAAAAATCTTCCAAACATGTTCAATATGATGGGAAGTGACACTATAATGTAGCTTGTTCATTTTGAATATAAGAAAAACCATTAGAACAGGTAAAAAGGAATCCATTCATGAAGTCTTGATAGAGCTTTTCACGGCGCATCTTTTGGAAAAAACTTCAAGTTTTTATCATTTATCTAAGCCGAGATATATGCGAAATGAAAAATGTTACAATATTATGGGCACTCCGTATTGTAGAAAAAAAAATGTCGCATTTTTTCTAATGCACTATTTTAACCTTCAAGCTACATTTGTTGTCCAACGTAAATATACCGAAAGATGCAGCGCGTTCTGGGCTTTCTTCCTATCTATAGGAACTTAATAAATAAAAGAAGTCTAGTGATGAAAACAAAAGAAAACAAAAGGGAGAAAATCAATTGAGATGCACTGTAGTTTATCAATTTCACAAGAAAAACAAATCAATTAGTCAATTCCGATTCTGACTTTGATTAAAATTCTTCGTAGCTAAGTCCAAACGAAAATCTTCATTCAACAAATATATAAGATCTTCTAAACCTTGCAGTAATTGTCTAAAATTTAAAAACTTACTACTATTGAAAACTTGCACCCTCTTCATATTGCAGTAGTTGTCTAAAGCTGAAAAAAAACTAGCTACTGAAAACAGCTAACGTTCTTTACAATTTGCAACAAACGTAGTTAAAAAAAATAATTTTTTATTAAAATCTTTTTAAAAAAAATTATTTTCAATGTATACTCAAAATAAAAAAAATTTCAAAAAGTGCACTTTAAATGTCAACTGTTTCACAACAAATTTATAAAATTATTAGCTGTAAATCAAACGAAACTTTAAAAGTTTTAATTTGCTTAAAATTTATCTTGTTTATATTCGCAAATGACAAGTAGCCGTGCATCAGACCTCATGTTGACAAGTAAATGGTTTCGAAGTTTGCTTACAAAATCAGAAAAAAATATTTTTAGACCATACAAATAAATCATACTACTTGTTCTTGGTTGTATGAAAGAAAACTATTAACGCTTATTGATAAAGATATTTCCAATAAATTGTCGTGGGCTACAAGCATATTTCACCACATTACTTCCTACCTCGATTAAAAGAGTCGTGATATCTGATGTGGACTTATTCGACTACATTGACGTTTCTTTTCGTAATTTCAGCCTACGCTCTTCAAGTCATTATATGGGTGTATTGGCATACCTATA